CCAAAACCTATCTGCAATAGGTGGTGACCCCGCTTTGAAATACTGGTGGCATAACTTTCAGTACCAGAGCAACATGCAAGCTAGCACAGGACAACAAACTGACAGACGGATGGTGGAATCATAGTTCTAAAGTAAAACTTGAGTTAGACTGGCTGTGTTGCCTGCCATGGTGATGAGTTGGGGCCTATGAGCGTGCTGTTAAGATGTGTATGTAGCACTGGGTGCATGTCCATGTGTACCCTATTGTAGATGTGCCTGTGCTGTCTTTGGAGAGCTCATTGCTACCCTAGGTCAATGTTATGACTAGACAACTGTGGTGTGAAAAGGGACTTTTTAACTTTTGTTTTCTAAGAGTGTGTTTGAGGATCTTTGCTTTTGTGTCTTAGACAATTACAGATTGAAGCTGAGTGGAGTCAGAGTAGAGTCAAAGTTCAGCTTGCATCCCCGGTTGAAGGCAGATAAGTAAATATGATAACTCAGTTCCTTAAGAACTGAATAGAATGAAAGCTTAACTATCACCCCCCCACACACCCTGGTTCAGACAGAACCTGGATTGGAGGCAGATAAGTAAACACAATAACTCAGTTCCTTAAGAACAAATGGAATGAAAGGTCAATTTACACATTCTTTCCATGTTATCCCCCTAGAAACAGGTGATAAGTATGTTAATGTGTTTCAAGAGACAACTTGAAAATTAACCTTGGCCCAGACGTGCAGTGAGACAAACGGGAACAAAGTTGCTGGGAACTGATATTCTGTCCAGCCCCGATCAGCTAATGGTAGGAAGCCGGTGTGACTCATCGGTGCACAAGCGCACTGCATTAAAAATCGACTGTCCCTTTAAACCAAGGCAAAGGAAGCTTCAGCCAATCGTCAGTTAATTCACGTCCAAATTCCTGAAGTTTTTATGTATATATATAAACCCCCCTCCCCTGAAGCTTATAAAACTGTATCCCGACCTCCAATCGGGGAGTCAGATTTGGGTACTGGCCCCTGTCTCCTTGCATTGCCACTTTGCAATAAATTTTCTCTCCTCTTAATCATTCGGTGTGTAAACTGTTTTGGCCTGATTGTGCACCAGGCAGGGACCCATGTTTGGTCCAACTTCAAAATGACTTAGTACCTTGTTCCATTCTTTCCTTAAGCTTTTCTGTGCCTAATTCCTCCACTCTACCCATTCTTCATGGAAATAATGTTTACCAATGTCAAAATTGTAAGATTGCCTAAAGTGCTTGGAGATCAGTGGAAAAAAGAAACACAAATTCAAGAAGCTGTAATTTGCCTGGACTGCCATGTTCCTAGACAAGCCCAGGAATTGGGAGAGGTTCACAGTGTCTTTGTGTTGTCAGAATATATTGATGGTGAGCTATGTACTGAGAAGTTAATGATCAACCTGGGAGCATGTTTTTGAAGCCGACTTCCCCTAGCTTGTGAGTAGACAGTCTGTAGATCTGTCTATTTTCCACGACTGATTACCTGTTTGGGGAGAGCAGAACCCTAGCATTCACCTGCAAAGCAGCCATTCATGAATCTTCAGGAGTCAAGATTCTAGTTAGGGAGAGGAGATGTAAAGAATATTCTTAAACTGTAATTAACACTGCAGGGTCCTGTGTGATTATAAGCAAGTCAAATTAGGGATGCTTTATAATTTACCATATTTTTCTGCACCTTCTATGTTTGTTTGCTCCCTTCCCCCAGAAATACTTCCATAAGTTAGCATAACACATTTACAAAAATACCTGGGAGAGAGGGAAGCACTTGCAAACAAATGTAGAAGGCACATATTATTTGAGTAAAAATACAGTATATTATTCTTTCAGAAAACGTTTGGTAAGCTCCTGCTGAGGTGCAATGCATTATGCAGCAAAACCTGTGAGAGCTAGAATTCAGTGAGACTGCCTTGTTTTTCTGGGTCTCACAAGTTTTCCACCGATGATAGGCTGTAGTCTTACCACTTTTGTTTTTCACAGAAAAGGTGTGAGTTTTCCTTCTCTGACAGGTTTCCACCTTACACAGAGTCCAGCTTTCCCATGTTTTACTGCACTGAATGCTGGGGCCATCCAAAGGCAGGTAAGAAAGCACGCAGAGGCTGGGATGGCACATGTGCCCAGATAGCTTTGATCTAAAGTAGTTTTTAATAAGTGCCATTAGGGAGATCTAAAATATTACAGCAGAAAAGAGGACACAGTTAATTCCATGGAGGACCTGAGATGAGGGGAAGCTACATTTTTAATTTATGAATTGCTCTTTGGGTAAATGAACTCTCTCTCCTTGCCTACTTTTCACAGAATGAAAGAAGAAAAAAGGAAACTAAAGGGACTTCATGGCTTGAAAAATGAGAGGTTTAAAGTACAGTCAGAATAGTTTTGAACTTTGTATCTGGAGATTGACCTCCATCCAACGAGGCCCCTCCAGCCTTACTGTTGAACTGTAATCTGTGCCTTTTAGTTATTGTTGTTGTTAGTTGCCCTTGAGTAGATTCTGACGCCTGGAGAACACATGTGTGCAGAGTAGAACTGGCCAGAGAGTTTTCAAAGCTGTGATCTTTTGGAAGCAAATCAACAGGCCTGTCTTCCAAGGAGCCTCTGGTGAGTTTGAACCACCAACCTTTTGGTTAGTAGTCAAGTGCTTGACTATTTGTGCCACCCAGGGACTCCACCTTTTAGATATAGTTTTTCTACTAATATAATATGCAGGGAAAGAAAAAGGTGCAAGTGTGAAGAGGTTTCAATTATTTAGGGGTTTAAAACATTAAGATTTTTCCACCCTTCTTCTCTCTCCCCTCCTTTTCGCCCTTCCATTATCTTTTCTCTGATCAGAGTTAAAGGTGTACAGGTGGCTGTAAGGGAACAGGGCATAAATTAAACTTCTTACATGAATGAAAGTCTTAACACTGAAAATCAGACCAGATTGTTACAAAACAACCCAAACACCTTATGTAAGAGAAAAACTGCTTTTTCTTTTCTTTTTTAAAAAGCTAAACCTCAGAAGGAAGGTTGGGCAATCCTACTTCCGTAGTGATACTGCCTCGGAAGCCCAAGGAGGGGTCGCTATGAGTCGGGGCCGACTCGATGGCACATAACAACAACAACAACAAAGTAGAAGATAATGTATTGCTTCATTTATTTGATACATTTATTAACTACTTACTCTGTGACAGAAACCCAATATACCAGGGCAAAGAAAATAGACTTGGTCTCTGCCCTCCTGGTAGGGGGAGAGAGAGGGAACAAAAATATTAAATGCATTAGACAAAATGCTGAATTGCAGATTGTATTTAGTGTATGAAGTAAGCAAAACACAAAAGCAGAGCCAAGAAAGAGCAGAGGGTGAGGGCTGGGAATCCTAATCCAGAAAGGCTGTGACAGGGAGTTGGGGTGGGCAAAGGACCTCTTAGAAGAGGTGAGAGTTGAACAAAAGTACGAAAAGGATGGATGTCCAGACCCCATGACTGCCCCTGTCCCAAAAGACGAGTTCAGAACGAGACGCACTAAAAGGGAGATCTATGCACATTCTCTGAACTGTATTCTTGTGATACCTTGCTAGAAACTTAGAAAAGACTGATTTCCCCTGAAAAAGGAAAAAAGAAAACTTCAGCTTACCTTGCTGAGGTGTTCTGTTTGTGGCTGCCGCACATGGAACAGCTCCTCTTCCTTGCCTCTCAACGGCACATGGTAACAGCAGTCGTGCCCGGGCTGAGGCATCCTGTGGAGTATCTCTAGGTGTCTGGCTTCCTTTTGAACCTCTGCTGTGGATTTGCTCTTCCTTCCCTCAGGGCTGCCACCCCGGTCCTTTGGATTCCTAACTAGTGGACATGGGGGTGGGGAAGGGAAGGAAGAGTGAGAAGCAGGGTTGGTTGGGCTTGAGGGTGGCCTGTGGGTCTCATTCATCCATTGTTCCTTTTCCCGGCCATGATGGCAGGTGATTAGGAGTTGACCTTAGTATGGCGGACACAAAACCTCAAAGTTCATGCCATGTGCTGGGGAGCCCTTAGATCCCTCCCACAAAACCCCCTGGTGGTTCAGATGAGGAGATGAAGCCCAAAGTTGTGACATGCACTGTCCGAGCTCAGCCAGCCAGCTAGCTGTGACAGGGCAGGGACCAAAGAGGCAGTCAGCCCTCTGGTGCTGGGATATAACAGAACACCTCAGCAGAGGTAAGCTGAGAATCTGCCATGCGGTATTTGTGTGCATCATGTCTTACAGCTTGCTTGAAAGTGGAGTTGCATATTTTCCCTCAAAGAGAGAAAGAGAGGTTTTTTTTTTCTTTCCATTGTTGTTGTGGGTGTGTGTTCTGTTTAGTCCTGATTCATTTTTGAGCTTCCCTGAGCAGTTTGGCCCCTCTTGAGACCCTTAGTGCCTGTGATGGTGGATTGACTAATGGAGTCTGCAGGCCACATAGCTAAACGTGTCTCGTGAGTCGTGGCTACAGTCTTCAAGGTAAAACAGAACCCCACTCCTGCAGGATCAGACTCCCTTGGTGCTAGTTCAGAAGGACTACACTACATGGATGTGCAGAGACTATGTCACCAAGATCTATGGTAGTAGATATTTTATTTAGAATCTTTTTTTTTTTTTTTTTGCTTTAAATTAAAAAAGAAACAAAAAAGGAGGAACCAGCAACATACCCTTGAATTTGACACAAAAACAGGACACAGGGTGCTTTCCTTGGTCTTGCATATTGTGATTATTTGCTTGGCTAGGTTTCTTAAAAATTGCTTCCAGTTGCAATGGGACTAGAGTTTCATATAGTAGAGCGGGTACCACACTTTGATTCAGGTGGCCTAGTTTCCTCAGTCGATTTCTAACAAGATGAAGGGATCATGGGTTAGTCACCTCATTTTTCTGAGTATCATTTTCTTCCTCTCACCCAGCTCTAGCCACATTTGAATTGGAAGATTTCATCTGCTTTTCCCTTGGCAGAGTTCCTGTGTACAGTGGTCGGTGGGCATATTGTGAGATATAACAAAGCATGTTCCTTTTCTTTCTTCTCCCCACCAGGGAGGGAGCAATTCCACGGACTGGGGTCCATGTACTGCCGAGGAGCAGCTGCTGTCATCCTCACCTATGATGTCAACCACCTGCAGAGCCTGGTGGAGCTGGAAGATAGGTTCCTGGGCCTGACGGACACAGCCAGCACCAACTGTCTCTTTGCCATTGTGGGAAACAAAGTGGACCTCACTGAGGAGGGGGCTGCCGAGGACCAAGAGAAAGAAGAGGGCTGCTCCAGGGAGGCTGGAAGCAGTTGTGCCTCTGCCAAGGTGTCCAAGCAGGTTAAGCTGGAGGATGCAGTGGCACTTTATAAAAAGATTCTGAAGTACAAAATGCTGGAGGAGAAAGACATGCCAGCTGCCGAGAAAATGTGCTTTGAGACAAGTGCCAAAACTGGGTACAACGTGGACCACCTGTTTGAAACCTTGTTTGATATGGTTGTGCCAATGATTTTACAAAAGAGAGCCGAGGGACCGCCACAAACTGTGGATATAAGTAATTACAAGCAGCCCAAACAGACAAAGTCTGGGTGCTGTGCCTGACTTTCAGAGGCCCTTCCTGACTTCCAGTTTGCACATGTGGTAAGGAGTGTATCCTAGTGGCTTAAGCGATGGTCAGAAGGAAGCATAGAAAATCAAAGAAAGATTTTATGGAGCAGTACATGGAGAAGGGAATCTGAATGGAAATGACAGCTATTTATCACAAGAAGATGCCAGTAGTCTGCTTAGTCTCCATGTGGTGTGTTAGGGGGTGGGGAATCAAATGAATCACCTATTGAAACCAGTCTGCAGATCAAAGATACTTGACCTTCTTTCCTAAGCTGCTGCTTTCTGATAGAATCAGCAGTCCTTTCATTACCTGGACTCCGAAATCTCTATTCTGCCTTGCACAGATGGAGGTTTTGTTGCATGTATCTGACCTGAGGCACACTCAGTTGTTATCACGTTATACAACTTTTATGTTTGTTGTTGTTCACAATTGTTTCTCTTCACTGTGATTTATTTTTGGTCTTACCATTTGGTACTTGTATTTTTATGCATTACAATAATGATTCTCTACATGTTAACTTATACAGAATCAGGAATAAGTGTTTTTATATTTGTTGCAGCAGCATGAGCTACACACATTATTAAAAAAGATTTTGGGAAAAATCTTGGTGTTGGCCTTTTATTGATTTAGGCTTTATTTGTACCTCCAACGGACTTCTTGTTGGATAGAGCTTGGGATATGGCATCAACCTTGATACTTCCTTCTTTAATACACAAAGAAAAGATAAAACCCAAAACCACTGCCATTTAGTTGATTCTGACTCATAGTGACCCCCTTTTGAGTTTCTAAGGCAGTAAATCTTTACAGAAGTAGATTGCCTCATCTTCCTTCCATGGAGTGGCTGATGGGTTTGAACTGTCAACCCTCTGGTTATCAATCAAATGCCTTAGGCACTGTGCCACTAGAGCTCCTTTCTTTCTTTAATAAATAAATAGATAAAAACAAAACTTACTGCAGTTGAGCCAGATCCAACTCATAGCAACCCATCCTTGGGTTTCTGACATGGTATCACTACGGAAGTAGATTGCCCAATTTTCTTTCTGAGGAATGCCTGGTGAGTTTGAACCACCATCCTTCTGGTTAGCTATCAGATGCCTTAGGCACTATGCCACTACATCAAATCCTTACAACTTCCACAATATTTAAATTGGTCTATCTGCTTAATTGTCTTTATGACTTGAATTTCAGTGTAGTAGCAGAACTAAAAGATCTCTTTCTGCTAAAGTCTGTTTGAGGCTCTCTTGCAGTACTAAATCAGAAAATGTCCCAGTTCTCTTATGGGATGTGGGTGGGCTGTTTTGTTGTTAGAAGTTGCCAAGGCAGAGAAGTTGTGAAACACCACTGTTGTTCTCTTCTTAGAAATTTAATCAAAAGCAAGTTGGCTAGAGTTGGGGCCTTTTGTTAGGAAAGGATGGCAAAGTTAGACAAAAGGCACAACAATGTTTCTTGAGTTGTTTTATTTGGGCATAAGTGGGGTCACCATAGAGAACAGCTATAGAGGTGCAGTGGTGAAAACACTCACCTGCTAACCAAAAGATTGACAGTTTGAGCCTACAGGAAGATGGGGCACTCTGCTTCTGTAAGGATTACAACCTTGGAAACCCTTTGGGGCAGTTATACTCTGTACTATAGGGTTGCTGTGAGTCAGAATCAATTTGATGGCAACAAATTTGTTTTTTGATTGCCCATGATCTCCAGTTACTGGGCCACCAAAAGCTTAATTCCTCTGCTTCTATGAAGTGAGTGTTTTTCACTTAATGACTGATAGTCCAGTCTATAAGATGAACTCTGACATGGCTTACTGTTTGTTATTGGAGCTTGTCAATGAGAGCATCCTATTAGTGAAGCAGGATCTTGAGACCTAAAAGTTCAGTTTCATAGCAGTAGCCCATCAAAAAGTGAAAATGAATTAGTTTGGCAGGTTACTTTCCATTGATTTGACTTAATTTGCCATAGTATGGGTAGAAGTTATATTTGTTTTCTATAAAGTTCTTCTTTGCTAGTGACACATCTAGGAAACGTTCTACTGAGAAAGGCTTTAGAATCTTTCTCTAAAGGTAATGGAGGGAGAAAAAGAACAGAGTATCACAAACAAAACAAAACAAAAAAACCAAACTCACTGTTATTGAGTCGTTTCTGACTTATAACCCCCCATTGGGTTTCAGAGAATGTAAATTTTTATGGAAGTAGATCACCCCTTCTTCCTTCTGTGGAGCAGCTGGTGGGTTTGAACCACTGACCTTCTGCTAAACAGTTGAGTGCCTTATCTACTACACCACCAGAGCTCAGAGTATCAAGAAAATTATTTCCTGTGGTTCATACTTGAAGGCAAAGATGGGCTAAATGATTGCTCCAGGTCCTTTCCTGCCCTAATATTCTTTGGTTCTATTTACTATCTGCGCTAAGCACCTGATAGTTTGTTACCTAGAATGACCTGCTATTCTGGATAATTGGTACCCATGGATGCTGGATTCTCCATCAACTCTGCTTAAGCATTTTTACCCTTTATTTGTTGCTCTAAAAATATACTTCATTGTAGTTTCCTTTTACACCACCTTCTCTGAACCTCATTAGCTCTTGGCTGAGGGCAGTCAGTGCTACTATCTCTCTTATACTAGCAACTTCTAACTGCTCTTCCATCTGCTGGAGGGAGGGACCAATTAATGCAGCAGATGCTCATTAAGCACCAACTTTTTCCTCAATACTGACAGGTGCTGTGTTGCTAGGAATGTTAAAATGGTGGTGACACAGGCCTCCTGGAACCTCCATGTTCAGGCTGTGTCTTCATGTGGATTTCAGAGACCAGCCTTGACTTCTTACATATGAGCCAATCTTTGGGCAGAGTCTGCTGGTCTTGATCTCATCTGACCCCTGCTTCCTGACCCTTTTTAGTTTTTGAGAAGCTTCAAATTTTTTAGTTGTTGTTGTTTCACTATAGGAGACAGTGCGGATTTCTGTTTTTGATGTGGGTTTAACTACTCATAAAAATCCATTGCTGTTGAGTCAATTCTGATGCATAGTGACCCTATAGGACAGAGTAGAACTGCCCCCTAGAGTTTCGAGGACTGTAGTCTTTATGGAAGCAGACTGCCACATCTTTCTCCCACTGAATGGCTGTTGGGCTCAAACTGCAGACCTTTTGATTAATAGTGCTTAGCTATTGTGCCATCAAGGCTCCTTTCTTTGTCTTTATACAAATGCAAGGATGGTAAGAACAGTTACAGTTCAGGGTTAAAACTACTGTAAATGGTCGTGTAGGCTGTCTTAGTTTCTTAGTGTTGCTATAACAGAAATACTACAGATGGGTAGCTTTAATGACCAGATTTTTATTTTTTCAGAGTTGTTTTTGTTGTTAGGTGCCATAGAGTTGGCTCCGACTCGTAGTGACCCTATGTACAACAGAACAAAACACCGTCCGGTCCTGTGCCAGCCTCACAATTCTTGCTTATACCTGAGCCCATCATTGCAGCCACTGTGTCAATCCATCTCATTGTGGGCCTCCCCCTTCTCTGATGACCCTCCACTTTACCAAGCATGATACCCTTCTCCAGGGAATGGTC